CGTGTGCAGGTGTCGACATTTGAAAAATGGAGTTTGTATGGTTCTCCTTCTTTGTTTTGAGAACTTTCGAGGGTTATGTCTTTTGCCCGTATGTTTCACGTGTGAGTTTGCGTCTCACCGAAAAAGATGAAGAGAAGGATCTTTTTTAGTGTAGTTTATTTTCTTTGTTCGTTTGTTCTTGTGCCAGCCGTGTTTCGTTTCCTGACATTGCGTTCACAGTTTTTTGTTAACATCTCCTTTGTCAGTCTTTGAATCCCTCTTTTTTCTCATGTTACTAACTTGCTATGTTTTTTTTTTTTTTTTAGCTTTATTTTTTTTTGTAGCTTCAACTTCTTCAGTTGTCGAACCTGGATCCAACGTCTTTGAACGTTGGTTCAGCTCGTTTTTTTATTTTGTTTTATACTAACTTTACTTTTGGTTATGTGGTGGTTCGGGTCCCTGAATCATTCACCGATCGCTGAAACCCCTGATAACAACAGGCAAATTGTGCATTTGTGGTAAATGATGCAATATCATAGTGGTTAATTCTCCTGTTAACCCTTTTTCATTAGATGATGTTGTTGAGACATAGGTCACATACTCCTGTTGGTGAGCCTCCTGCTTTTTTGGGTTACTGGTTTGATCCTGGGTACGATCGGTACACGTTGTCCTCTTTGGAGCCATGTACCTTGATTCTGGTGGTGAGACCGACCGATCCCTCATTTCCGTGAAGTTACAGATTCTACTCATTAGAGTATGAGATTTATTTTTTTTTTAAGGAGTGTTTGTATATTTCTCCGGAAAAAATATGCCTTTGTGGGAATTGGATTAACCCACATCGTATAACGCTGACCCCTTTGTCTTTTATGTCAACGTGGGGTAGAGACGAAAGCATATCTATTCACGAGACTGACTCCCTCGTGTCTTATGATGATTACTCGTAGAGTCTGCTATATAGCACTGTTAGTAGGTTCGTTATTGAACTGCGTGCTGGTAGTTTCGATAGGTTTTAACTGATCAACTTGATTATAGAAACCGTAAGTCGGGTCTGTCTTATGAAGGACTAGGGTTTTAGCTTTTTTCCCAGGTGTTTGACACCGAATAAAAACGGACCAATATCCGTTTTATAGAGTTTTCAAGATAAAAAAACTCTGGGTTTGTGTCGCCAATTATCAGTTCGTTGTTTTCTGATATTTTAACGGTTCTTCACGAGCATAAATGTTAAACAACGTTGTTTAAAAAATTTTTACACGGTTGCGGTTACATTATGGGGTTTCTATCGCATGGAAAAAAATGAAACCCCTTCGTCGAAGGTTTGGCACGCCTCGATGATTGTATTTTTGACGGTCTTTTGACCTTGAAAAAATCGAACTTCGAAATAAAATTTTTAAACTAATCCAAGGTTACCGGATAACCAGAAGATCGTCACTACCCGTTTCTTTTATTATTCGTTTTCTCTTCCTATCCTTTATGATTTCTTTTATTTTTATTTATTTTTTTTAATAAATTATATATTTATTTATTTATTTATTTATTTTATAATTTATCTTATGATTTATTTTATGTATAAATATTTTTTTATTTAATAAATTTTTTTAAAACTTTAAACAAAAATAACTCAACTACAAGTTTGTAAATTTCATTTAAAAATTTTCTTATTAAATTTAATTAAGTTTTTGTTGAGTTATTATTGCTTATTTTGCATTTTGTAACTTTGAAGAAAGATCAAATTATTGTAATAATAAACTAGAAAATTTAAGAAATTTTGTAAGAGAAATTTCTTTTTGCACGTGTTATAACTAGAAATTTTGTAGGAGAAGTTTCTTTCACCCGGATAGTAATGATTCATGTGGATGTTAATGATGAGCTAACTCTTTATTTTTTTTTTAGATTTTATGATTAAAATTACTTACGTAGTTGTGGACTTCAAATTAATAGAGACTTAAATGGTGCCCAAGGGATTTTTTCAGTATTTAAAGCACCAAATTATCAAGTGAAAATATTGTTCAAAGTCTAATGTGTTAAACGATTACAGTATCAATTTTCGAATCACTGATTGTTGTAAAAAAAAAAATAAATTCGTTATTGTTAGGCCAGTTTTCTATTATATAAAGCATCACTTCCTGCGTTAACACTTTTAAAGTTAATTCTTTCAGATATAGAATTTTAATATTCGTTAAAAGTTTTTGAATAAAGCATCAGTCAGTGCTTTTTTGCTAATTCTTCCAAGTTATTATTATAGTATTAATATTAATAATTTATATAATATTTATTTAGAAAAATTTTTTATTATACAAATTAGCTAAGTAATAGACTAGAGGTGCGATCCGTAAACTAGTAGTTAATATAAATAAACTGTAGTTTATTGTAAAACTGTAGTTTTACAATAAACTACTGCTTTACAAATAAATAAGGTTCATTTACCAGTTTATGAATATATTATTATAATATATTATTATACTATTTATAATGTACAATACTCTAGATAATTGATTGAAAGAGTATTGAAAGGCTTTTAAGTAAATGTTGTTTTCTTGTTTTATATTTGCATTTCAAATTTTTGATTTGTATTGCATTCTTGACCTTTCGGACTGTAACTTATAACGTGCCTTTTCAGACTCTAGCAGTTTATTCCATTCGTTCCCAGCAATTTTTGAAATTTGACGAGTGTCCATATTCGGATTATCTTTAATTTTTTCTTTTCAATATAATATAAAGACGTTTAATAGATATTTTACAGGATTAAAGATCAAGGCTGGAACATGTATATTTAGTTCTGGCAATTCCTTGATTGTTTTTAATTTCTTTGTAGCATCTTCACTTATAAGAATTGGTGAGTAACCTTGTGGGATAAAAACTGATATTCCATTTATATGTTCAATATTTTGAAAAACATCAGATTCTTCAATCGAAATGAAATTATTCGAAATTATTTTATTTATATTTACTTTTTAAAAATGCTTTTTAATAGTTTCAAATGTATTGTTAAAATATAGAGTTAGTTAAACCAATTTAGAAGTATTGAGTTAAATTGTATTTTTATTATTTTTTTAATATTTTCGTATCATATGCTTTATAGAATAAAAATAAAATTGTAAAGTTAACAGTTTGTTTTTAAAACATTATAAAATAAAAGCTAATTCAAATAAAGTTATTATAAATTTTATTAAGTTTATCACAATCTTTAATATTCTATTTTCGCCTGTCGAAATTATAACATAATTTAGGTTTTTATTAAATAAAATTTTATTAATTGAATAACTCTTAAGATAAAATTATAAATCTTTCAATTTAATCAATGAATCTGCTTTTATAATTTTTATTCAAAGTTGTTGCCATTTTTATATTATTAACATTCTATTATCTAGTATAGTGCTCTACAAAACAATTTATTAAAGAGAAAATATAATTAATATTCTTGATTAATTTCGATTTTAAAAGATGCATATCATCTATTTGAATAATTAATAGGAACATTAAGTTAGATTATAAATCTTGATATAATACTGTAAGTTGGTCTGTATATTTCAAATAAGTCTTCTACAATAATTTTATTTTCAGATTTCATTAACAAGAATAATCAGCTAGCTGGGTAATACGATAAAATCCAATACCAATGCTTCTCTTTTATAACTTGAAAGTTTTGCAAGATCAATAGCTTCTTAAATTCTTTTTCATTCTTAAAAATTTCTTTTGGATCTTTACTTATTTTTTTTTACTCGTTGTTTTGGACATTATTATTGCTTTTATTCTTATGAGTAAAAAAGATTA